GTCATTTTATGTATTAATAGTACATTTTAGGTTACATTTGTCACAATAAAAATTAGGGGCTGGAGTGATAGTATAGCAGGTAGGGTGTTTGCCTTGTATGGGGCCGACTTGGGTTCACTTCCCAGCATTCCATATGATCCCCCAAGCACCACCAGGAGTAATTCCTGAGTGCATGATCCAGGAGTAATCCCTGTGCATAGCTGGGTGTGACTATATATATATATATATATACATATATATATATATATAACCATAAATCAGGATACTATATGAGGAAGATTCCTAGTTTGTAAGCAGGTGGAACCGGTTGATTGGGGGTCAAGGAGGTGGAGGGTTGCTGGGGAGGTAGAGTGCTTTTTGTTGCACAGAAGCTATTTCTGGCTGTTCCTGCTTCTGTACTCAGGAATGACTATTTTTAGGAGAACACATGTGGTGCCAGTAATTGCACTGGGATTGCCACATGCAAGGCAAGTGCTTTAACCCCTGTACTATTTCTGTGATCATTGATTGGTTGATTTTGGATTCCTTTCTCTTTTTTTGTGGGTCACACCCAGCGATGCACAGGGAATTGCTCGGGGATCCATATGGGATGCTGGGAATCAAACCTGGGTTGGCCGAATGCAAGGTAAATGCCCTACCTGCTGTGCTATTGCTCCAGCCCCCTGAATTCCTTTCTTATGTAGAGACCATCTGAATACACATTCCAAATATGTATTCTCCCTCAAACACTCACAGGCCAATTAGATTTATTCCTTCTTTACTGTTTTTTTTTTTTACAGGAGAAGAAAACCAAACTATGTGTGGTAAACAGTTCTGGATAAGGCAAGGAGTATTTCATGTCACGTAGGGTGTCACCGTCAATGTGTTTTCATTTGTGGCATGCCATCTAGGAACTCAGAAGAGCTAGGCCTTAACCTGCGAGATAAGCAAAATTTAACCAGAGAAGAAAAATTTTAAATTAGGCTGAGCTGTCCATCAAATTAGATATAAATCCTATAAAGATAATTTAATTTGGAACAACTCTTGCAAAATTGATGATAAGAGTCTTGTGGGTTTGAGAAGTGGTATCTCACTGAGCTCTAGGCCTTATTAAATAGTTTCTGAGTCAGGGAATTCAAAACAGCACTAGTAAGTCGTTGTAGGTCATCGTGAATTGACATAAAGTTGTTATTACCCACTGCTATGCCTTACTTTTCTTACAGGTAATTCTTTACCTTGGTTGCACAACAAAATGACTTTGGCACTTTAAATATTCAGAAACATTCAATGGTCAGACTATAACCCATACCATTAAATCGGCATCTCTTAGAAAAGTGCTCTGATATTAGCATTTTAACAAGCTCCTTGGTGATTCGAGTATGCAGCAGGAAGTTGAGAGTCACTGCTGAGAGAGGATAGAGGCTGCTTCAGGCCAGGTGGAAACCCCTAGCACTGAGCCTACTCAGAACACCCTTATTTCTGACCCACGCAATAACTTTGTCTGATATGACCAGATGGTTCTCAAAGTTCTCAGAGTGGTTCTTTGACAGTTACTCTTAAGGGAAATTTCTCTCTCTCTCTTTTTTTTTTGCATTATCAGTAAACTCTTGATCCATTATTAATGAAATTTCACAAACTTGATGACTATTTCTTTCCTTACTTTTAGTAAAGAAAAACCTTTGGCAATGATTGTGGTTAAGTTTTATTATAGATTAATATATAGGAAAGTGGATTGTATATGCTAAAGTATAGCAAAAATAGCAATCATTGTTCTTAATTTCAGAAACCCATACAAAGACAATAACTAAAGTAGATCATGATTTTTTTTCTAACAGCCGGAACAACTGACTCCAAGATCTTTCTCTAACACACACACACACACACACACACACACACACACACACATACACACACGTGTGTGCACACACACGCATCCATGCGTTCACATGAATACATGCACACACACACATGCAGGCATATACACACATGTGTGTGCCTTTAGACACATGCCACTTTCTTAGTACCTGTTTTAAGCACTTTAATAACAGCAACCTGACTTCTAAAAAGAGAATTGCAGTTTTTATCTCAGTGAATCCACTGAAAAAGTTAGATTAAATTTATTATTTATCAAATATGTATCACCTGCTGGGCATATGGGAAATTTTAGGGTACAAACCAAGAGGAACATAAAATCCTAATCTGAAAAGTCTCATTAGTGATGGACACAATGAGCAAGTGTACACTGTAGAGATTTAAAAAAATTGTGATCAGAGCTTGAAAGTCAGACTCAAATGCTGTGTTTATATGAACTTATGGAAAATATGGTAAAAATGCAAATTCTGGTTCTCAATCTGGAAAGGTGCCCTGAGGGGTTCTTATTTCTCTCAAGCTTCCAGGTCCATAATGAGCATCAGTGATGCTCATGCTGTTAGTTCAGGGGTCCCACTTGTGGCAGACTGTAGAGATCAGTAATCGCTGTGCGAGAGAACAAATGAGCTGAAGGAAGATGATAGGCAATCAGGAAACAGTGGAGGGGACACTTAGCTGGGAGCATGTAAGTGGAGAATCCAGGAGTGGGAGAAACTAAAACCCATCCCTTCCAAATTAAAAATACAAAATTAAAATCCAGCAGGAGCTGAATGCAAAATTTAAATCCTGTAAGTTCTTCTGGACAGGGATAGTGAGAATGTCTCCCTTACCTGTCACTGTTTTGGGATTTTACTTTTTTTTGGTGGGGGTGGGGAGGTTACATATGGTAGTACTCAGGGGCTACTCCTGGTTCTGTGATCAGGAGTAACCACTATCAGTGCTCAGAAGATAGAGTGCCGAAGATTTGAACCAGGTTTGCTGCCTCTGCTGCTACAAACAAGTGCCTTTTGGACTTTCTCCCCGAGACCTCTTATATTATTAAGAGCCCTTAATCTTTAGTCATTAATCAGAAATCTGTTCAAATTTGCAGATACTATGGATCATGCCTTTTAATATGATCCTGGGAGGAAATTCATTGATTCTCTGGGTGTCTCCCATCTGCAACCTGCCCTTTCTCAAAAATGTGCTTCCTTTGCGGTAGGGCGTTTGCTATTTTGCTTTTCCACCTGCTACAATATGACCTTACCCCTTCCAGCTGACACTGTGTCTTCTATGCCAGGTTTAGGATCAAAAATTAGGGGTGAGGCCAGTACCTGAATTTGGTGGGATGCTGCTATCTGCTGGCCCCAGATAGCAGTGAAAGAGCAATTGGCTTTTAATGGAAAGAGCTCTAAAAGAGGATTTCTTGTTCTTGGGGTCTGACAAGCAGCCTCCCTCAGACTAGACCCAAATGTATTCTGACAGCATAGTTCTTCTGGGAACTCAGCTTCTCATATGGAAATGTGGGGTTTGGATCTGAGACTTTTTTTGGCCTGTTTTATAGTTAATACTTTGGAAATGTGCAGATGCTTCCTGGGCCACACCCAGTGATGCTTGAGGGACCATGTGGTTCCAGGGAGGCAACAGGATCAGCTGAACACAGACAGGCATGAGTCTTGACTGCAAAACTATCTCTCCAGGACCAAGTCTCTTTTCTGTTTTTATTTGTTTGCTTGTTTATTTTTTTTAGTAGAGTCTCTCCAGCCGTACCCAGGGTCCTCTGCCAGTGATACTCAGTTCTGCAGTGCTGGTGGCCATGGAGGGGTAAACATATAGTCTCAGAAATCAAAGAGGGTCAAGTGCATACAGAGCTCCACCTCTTTGAGCTGCCTTCCTGACCTATTCTGAGAAGTGCATGTTTCTTTGAAACCTCATTTTTATGGTTCATTTTGGGGCCACACTTGGATATGCTCAGGGGTCACTCCAGGCTCTGCATTCAGGAATTAATCCAGTCAGTACTCAAAGGACCTGGGATATGGGAGGCCTGAGATTGTACCACGGTTGGCCATATCAAGGAAACTGTCCTACCCACTGTACTATATATCCGGTCCCTGAAACCTCATTTTAAAATGACATGTTATTCTTTTAATAAAAGGTAAAATCTTTTTTACAGCACATAGGACTCTTGTCTTGCACATGACCAACCCATATTCAATCCCTGGCACTGCTTATTGTACCCTGAGTGCAACCAGAAATGATCTGTGAGCACAGAGCCAGGAGTAAGCCCTGAGCTATGCTTGGATGTATGCCACACCCCCAAAAAATTTTTACTATAATTTCTGAATAATCTGCAGATAATATGCTTTTATTGACATGTCACATTCACTTCCAACTTAATAAGCAAAAATGTCATTTTATTAACTAGGAGGGTGTGTATTTATAGAATCAAATTATATGCTAAATTGATAGAAGCACCCATGTTATACCAGGCACCAAAAGAAATGTGGTTCAAGGCAGTGTAAGGGGCTTATTGATTGGCTTCTGATTTTCTAATGGATTTCACAAAATCTGAGATCAATGGATTCAAGTCTGTTATCGAAGAACAATCTTTAAGCAAGTTTTGACCAAACACAGAAACAGCTGCCTGCCCACATTGGATTGGTATAGCAACAGAGTGTCATAATATTAGTGCAGACCTAGCCCATCCAATGCCATCTTTCCATAATTGTATGTCTGCAAATGATGCATTGAAATTGAATTTACCAGGGTTCATAGAACAGACAAAGTTCCAATCACAAGGTACCAAGAACCAAGAACAGATATCAGTTTAGTATGTTTCTGAATACAAGCTGAAGTGTGTTCTCTGGAGAAAAGACACACAGGTTCTCTGATGGAGGATACTGGCACAATTTTAGGGTAGCCACTATGCCTCTCTGGGCCTCCTCTTTTTTAACAACATTGAAATTGACTAGATAGGACAAGTGACAGATGCAAACATTCACATACCTCAGGTGCACAATGAAAGATGAGGTGGCTGCTGAGGGTGAAGTTAATTTCAATAATTTAATATTTCTCATATTTCTGTTTCCTGAAGGTAAACAAGAAATGAGTTTCTTTGCCTTATCTAAATTTGTGTTTTCATGAGTGTGTGTGTGCATATGTGTGTCTTCCAGTTCCAAGGAGGGCTTCGGGTCTGTGGAGAAGGTGGTGCTGCTCACGTTTCTCTCAGTGGTGATCCTAATGGCCATCTTGGGGAACCTGCTGGTGATGGTGGCTGTGTGCAGGGACAGGCAGCTCAGGTGAGAGCACCAGGGGGCTTCCTGATGAAACCACAAACTGTTCTGGGATTTCTTCTGAAACTTGAGTGCAGAACTTATATATTCACTATGGTTTGTAATTATGAAAGCAAAAATTACAAAGGAACCACAGAAAATAAAGCAGGAGAACAAAGACAACATGTAATCCTAAAACTCTAACATGACAAGTGTTGGCATTAAGTGAATCGCCACCTCTTTGTTTCCATGCCCAGCTTTACCATTGTTTTAATGGTTGCAAGTGATCCACATATGCATTTAATGTTTCATGTAAAAACACCTTCCTTTCACCCTTGAACCCTGTAAGTGGCCCAGAAAAGGAGTGACCAACAAATGAATGGTGAAGGATTTAAACCTGAGTCTTCTGCTCTTCTCACCTTCCCGATCTCAGCCCTGTTCTTTACCAGAAGACCTTTTAAAATAACTAATGTGTAGTCTAAATGTGTCCCAAGAAATATCTGGGACATGCCCTTTCTGAAGTCATTGCTGATGTGAAATTTAGTCCCATATTTGGTCTATGTCTGGGTGTATTAATCACCCAAATTTCCTCAGCTAAGTGATGTGAACAGAGACCCAAGCACCCATATTTATAAAAATCCACTGAATGATACTAGGATACAGCTGGAGTGAGCCACTGGGTCATGGGAGGGGGTGAAGGGCTCTGACTTGGCCTTTCTGTGCCCTCCTTTCTGAGCAAGATGTGCACTCATCCCATGGCGACCCTAGGTTGAGTGCCGAATGTTACACTTCTGACTGCGTCATAAATGAGTCATATGTCAGTCCAGGAGCTGAATATAGCTAAGTGTGACCCTGTGGGAGACAGGGTGCCTCTTGGTTAGGACTCAAGAATGACTGAAGGTGGAGGGGTGTGACTAGGCTGCTGATGGAAAGGTCCTGGGGTGTGGATTCCATGCATGGGGTGTAGGGCTCTGGGAGGGTCAGAAGAGCTAAACCAGACCAGTGTAGCTTGAGGGGGGAAAAACAAGAGCAGATGTGATTTCAGGGAAGTCTAAAAGAGGTCAGAAGGGGCCAGACCAGCAGGGTCTTTGCAGCCCTGTCACAAAGGGGAAGCTGAACTTCGGGAAACATGTTACACATGTCTTTTCTCTTCCCCCTCCTTCTTTCTTTGCTTTCCTCTTTCCCTTTGTCTTCTCCCTTCTTCCTCCCCACTCTTCTTCCTCCTCCTTTCCCTGCCTCCTCTCATATCTTTTCACTCCTAGGAAAATAAAGACCAATTATTTTATTGTATCCCTTGCCTTCGCGGATCTGCTGGTATCGGTGCTGGTGATGCCATTTGGTGCCATCGAGCTGGTTCAGGACATGTGGATTTATGGGGAGATGTTTTGCCTGGTGCGGACCTCTCTGGATGTCCTGCTCACGACGGCGTCCATCTTCCACCTCTGCTGCATCTCCCTGGATAGGTAAGGACAGCACATGCATGGGAGCCAGAGGGCTGTGCCTTTAAAATCCATATTAGAAAGAAGTGCCCAAGAGGTAAACCCGGTTACTCACTTACTCCCTATTCTTTACCAAGGGTCCTTTTCTGTTAGATATTCTCCAAGGCCCTGAAGATAGAGATTAGCGAAGCCTGGAGCCAGCCTTCAAGGAGCTTGCAATCTGGAATGTGAGAAGCAGAGGCAATCAAGTTAACTATGAACATTTGACTCTGAGAAACTTTTGAGGGGGCTGAGCAGGAGCAAACAATAATCTGCCTGAGACAGAGCTCAGAAGTTCAGAGTGACATTTTTCTATGTTTGAAGATGACTCTCTCCTGAACCTGTCGATACAAAAAGTTGAACATGCTGATTTGGGTGTGCGTATATGAAGTTGTAGTCTCTTTTCCAGAAAGTTAAAGGTGATTCTAAAATCCTCAGTGATGGTTTGGATCTTGAACTCCAGTCCAGTCTTTCATTCCTGTTGCATAATAATTTTGTATTTTTTTTCCTTCACCCTTGATGGGGAGAAATCTTAATGAACTGCATCATTGCCTTCTTTAGAGAATCATATATGGTTACAGGAATTGAACCTAGGTCAGCTCTGTGCAAGGCAAAGGTGCTACGCACAATACTATCACTTCAGCCCCCAATACTTTTTAAGATAGTTGGTATATGCCATATGAAAGTTCATATTAGGCAAAATAAAATAGAAATAGCTAAAAAAATATAGGAATCCTACAAGGTGATTTGTAGTTTATTATGAGTGGTGAGATGAAAGCTATTATAGAAAAAATTAGTGGGATATAGAAATTGACAATAATGGAAATGTCTGAGCAAAGCAAGGAAAATGAGGAAAGTAGAGAGTCACTCATCTTCCCATAGGTAGAGAACTTTATTCTGGGAAACCCTGAAAGAACGACCAAAAAATCTGAGGAAGATTTTCTTTTCAGGTGAATGATCAAGTTCTTTTTTCTTCTTTTTTGGGTCACACCGGCAATGCACAGGGGTTACTCCTGGCTCTGCACTTAGAAATTACTCCTGGCGGTGCTCGGGGACCATATGGGATGCTGGGAATCGAACCCGGGTCAACCACGTGCAAGGCAAACACCCTACCCGCTGTGCTATCACTCCAGCCCCGAATCATCAAGTTCTTTTAAAATAAAATGTTCCCGAGTAGACTTGAGTTGTCATGTGGCAGAATGGGCCATTTTGAGGCCATGCCTTTTAAAATTGAAGATACTTAGGTTCAGATCTGACCTCTGCTCATGTTCAACTCTAAGAGTGGCAGTTAGTTGCTACCCCTTTGCTGTTTTTAATGCTGTTCTCTCTGAAAGGGAAAGTGATAACTAGTGCCTATTTTCTAGGATTGCAGTTGTAGGATAAAATGAGATCATTGATTTAAGTACAGCTCTGGCCCCGTGTCTGTGATGCCACTTTCAGTTCTTATGACTGTCCTTACCTACTGTGATCTTTCTTACCAAATTGATATCCCTTCTCATTGAACAGCTGTTCTGGAAGCTTCATCATTCACAAACCAGGGAGCTATTCTTAGTGTGGTCTTTCTTTATTCCCTGCATTTAAATTATGACAAGTTCATAATTTCTCTTCCTAAATACATCCTACTCTATTTCTCTACATCTTGATAGCTTAACCCGAGCTAATGAAGTCTCTTGCTTAAGTCACTATAACAACTTTCTGAGAGTTCTCTCCAGATCTATTTTAAATTCTTCAAATCCACTCACCAGTTCTAAGATCTCATAACCCCCAGTGATAAATTTAACTTTGATCCTTTGGTCCTTTGCTTAAAAACCTTTCTGTGGCTATTCATTGCACTGAGGACCAAGAACACACACATTTGTATACAGGGTTTTGCATTGTCCATTTCTCATCCATTTTCCAGCCCTCATTTCATGCCCTTTGCCAATCCACCTCCCTAATCCACTGCTGTAGGCCTTGCCTCACACAACTCCTTTCTGCTCAGCCACAGAGGCGTTGGCCCTTCCTTCTGCCTGGAAGTACCCTTTCCTTTTTCTTTTCTTATATGTCTTTCAGATTTTAGTTCAATCCTCACTTTACTCTTGAACCACCCGCACACGCCAGCAGTCCATTCTTGTCTGTTTTTGTATACCTTAGTGCAACTGTGATTAAAGTGAACTCATTAAATTTTTCTTAAAGGTCACTGTCTTTTTCAAATAAGAAAAGGTAAAAGGATATAAATGAGATCAAGGTCTCAACCCTAAGGGAGCTTACTTTTTACTGAGGAGATTGACAATGAGCTAATAATGGCATAAGTCCTGATCTGGGTATTAGGTAAACAAATGAAATGTTGGACACATTTTCTTTTAGAGCAATAAAGCCAGTAATTCCATTTCTTCTCTAATGGGCAGGGGGGATCATAAATTCCAATGATGATTTTATTTGCCTCTGGGAGCTTAGGGAATTTCCAAATGTCTCTACATCCCCGTCCCAAGGGTGATGTTCTCATGGAGTTTGCAGGAACACCATGAACATTTGTACAGTAGAGTCTGATTTTACTCCTCATCCTGTTTCTGCTTTGATTGTATCCCTCTAAGCCTGGCAGTGGGATGGGGCCAAAGCATAGAGGGAGTATCTCAAGCAGGTGCCATGTTTGGCCCCTGGAAAAATGTCCGGTTCTCCTCTATAACGCTGCTGGGAGTCTGGGATAGGCTGAGAGTGAGTAGTGCTTCTCTGACAGGATAACTCACTGTGGTTTGTGATCCCACCCAGATAGCAGACTCCTGGATCGAGCTAACTTCAGCGTGTCATTAATATAAAATGTGTATGTAACTACCAGTCTCCATCCATGGTGCTTTCTGGTGTTTTGAGAATTGAATCCTATTAGCAAATGTTTATTGCCTCACTAACAACAATTCCAAAACAATCTAAAAATACAGGTATCATGGTGTATGGGTCAGGGATGCTGACAAATGCACTAAGGTGTTATGATACTATTGATTATTTTCAACCTAAGATTTTATGGTGAATAAAAATGAACCAAGTATCTCTAGTATTGCTTTTATAAAGAAAATATAATGTAGCCATAAAAAGTATGAAGAACAGCTCTGTGTGTTGTCCTAGAGTGATATCGTGAGTATATTGGTATTTGATATGAAAAAAAAAAAGTAAGCTTCAAACTGTAGTCTTAAGAATAATTTTGTTCTTCTGAAAAAATTATATAAATGTTTGATGCTGAATATATTACAAATAAAGGAAGAGATATAAACGGAGAGAGATATAAAAACTGAGAGAAATAATGTGAATATTGGATAAAATTACAACATACCATACCATCCATGTGAATATTGGATAAAAATCCAACTGACCATCCAGTTTGGTCATCACCAACAGTGGTTATAGAGGTTGGTGATGACCAAACTGGATGGTCAGTTGGATTTTTGTAAGAAAACCACCAATTTTATTAATTATAGCAATATGTTTTAATCTTTGATTCTCCTTTTGCTGGAATTAACACTTGTTGAATACCAGAGTCCTTCCAAAAAGAACCTTTTACCAAAAACTTTGGGCCATGCCTGGAAGTGCTCAGAGGCTAGACCTGGCTTTTTGCTCAGGAGTGACCCCTGGCAGTCCTCAGGAGACCATACTGAGTATGAGAGATCAAAGTAGCTCAGCAGCATGCATGGCACTTCTGCACTATCTTCTAGCCCTGCCTATTCTTTTGTTGTTCATCTTATTATTGCTTTAATTATCAGGCTGGATCTAGAAAATTAGAAGCACATGAGTTGAATGTCCTTAACTCTTGAGTCTAGAGGAAATGAAACCTAAATTCTGTTTCACATGGAAGAATTTCAGTTGGCTTTGCCTGGAATGCTAGTTGTGGGCTGAGATGACATAACCTGGTTTCCGAGCAGTAGCAGAACTATATGGTCAGGAGAATGGCAGTGTCTGGTGCAGAGAAGGATGTTCTGCGGACAAGAAGAGAAGAACTCATCTTCTAGTAAGCCAGCTGAAGGACTGACTGGCATCCTTAGGGAGCTTCCACCACAAGATAGAGAAGTGCCATCCCGTCTGTCCTATGCAACATTCCACTGGCCTCTTCTGCATATTTTGCAGACCTATCACCATGCTGGCTCCCTATTTCTTATTTTGCTATACTTTGTCCAAGATACAGCATCAAATGCAGTTCCCCTTAAAAAATACGTCTCAAGTTTTTGAAGACAGAATTCTCTGCTGCTTTGTCATATTTTCTCTTTAATATGCCCAACTGATCCATTGCTCTTCCACTTGGCAGCCCAGGAATATGATGTGTTTTATCTGCAAAAACCTTCTGACAGCTTCTCAGTGACAGATATCTTTTAATGCAGGTTGATGTGTAAAACATACAATTCTCACTCAAAGATTGTGTATTCTGTTCTGTGCTAGAGATAAGTGTGTGCATTTTGTAATGATCTCTCTGGAGAACCACTCAAATTTGTAATGTGTAAATGAAAAGTGTCTATCATCATGAACTTGTGTAACACACATACATTTGTTTCCCAGCAGCATAGAAATGCATTTCTGCAAGAACAGCTTTTTAAAGTTCCCCCTTCTTGTTTGTTCTTTAAAGCAGATATATGCTATTCACATAATATACTGTTTATTGAGTTGAATTTCATGCTAGAGAATCTTTAATTTATCAAATATTTATTGAGTCTTTTCTAATTGCCAGGAGCTGAACTGATCTCTGGAAGCATAAAGGTGAACAGCTGAAGAAAGTGTTGAATCTTAGAGCTTTTAGTCTAGTGCAGAATACAGGTAATAATTAGGTAATCAGAGTAAAATTAGCCACCTTTGCAATAGCATAAGTAAAGCCAAAGTTGCTCCTGGAGTGCATAGTCCAGAACAGGGAAGTGCAGGTGAAGCTGGGGGTATGGGTGAGGCAGATGTTGGGAGGGTAGGGCGAAATTATGAACCAATCTAGAAGACAGATTCAGAAAACAGCACATGCAAATTTCCCAGAGATTTTG